CTGACTGACTGACGCTAATTCTAACCATGTCCTAGAAAGGTTAGAAATCTGAAACATGGTACGTATATACCTTTTGGAATGCAGAGTTCAGAAAAAATCCGACTTTGGAGGTACATACCATGGGGGTTCACATTTTGTGGGGAAACCCTTTTTTAAAATATATATTGTGACGTATGAGGATGGGATTCAAAAGATGGAATGGATGTCCTGGGTTCGATGGCATAGTGGTAGCACATCTGAGCGGCAATCGGGAAGTCCGGGATCAATTGCTGGCCATTCTTTGACTTTTTTTGCCTTCCATGTCCCGTTACTCATTCCCCCTCAATAATATTATTTTTGCTTGAGTAAAAGGGGGAGACATGGAAAGCTGAAACCTGCCATGGACATGTCTACCGAGACGATAATTTCATGAAAAGTGCAAGATTTTAGATCCATGCCCCGGGGGGATATTTTTGGGGCCGAAGTTTTCAAGTATTTTTTTTTGTCCTGGCGTATTGAGCTAGTGTGGAAAGATGAAACTTGATACATAACTACCTATTGGGATGCTACAGAAAACTTCAGACTTTGAAAGCAAATGCCCTAGGAGCATAAATTTCAAAGGGAGATGTTTTAAAATATTTTTTTTTCCATCAGTTAAACTGATGAGCATGCCAAGTTGAAACTTTGCATGAATGTGACTACTGAGATAAGGAGCTTAAATAAAAATGTTAAGTCTCGATACATCCAAGGGGGGAAATTTTTTAAACGGTGATGCTTTGAAAAAAGAATTGTGACGAATTGGACAGAAATGGAAAGGTGAAAATTGGCACACGTATAAGTGACGTGATATTATTGAGTTGAGGGAGTATTCAGCTTTCATGGTGAATCCCCTCCGGGCATAGCTTTTGGGTGCGTCGGCTTTTCCAAACATGATTTTTCACCAGCGAAAAGGGCAAACGTATAATATTGAAACTTTGTGGGCATGTAGTTCACTGAGGTTTGATCTCGGTAAAAATGGTACTTTTCGGTTATAACGCCCGAGGGGACATATTTTGCAAATTTTTCTGAATTTTCTGATCCAGCTAAACGGAGAGTGCTAGAAAGCTTAAACTTGGCAAAGAAGTACCTGATAAATGGCTGAGTAAAGAAACAATTATACTTTTATATATATATAGATGATCGTGAGTAGCTGACTGACATAAGTAGCTTTTCACATGCTGAGTTCAGGAAAAATTTCACTTTCGTGATGCACGCCATAGGGGCACACCTTTTCGGGGAACATACTTTCAAATAGTTCTCTTTGCTTCAATCAAAAAGAGACCCATGGAAAGCTGTAACATGGCAAGAACGTGACTGGTCAAGCACTCAGCTCAAATGTCAAATGTCAAATTCCCGAAATATTTTTGGGGGGGATATTTCTGGGGGCGTAACGTTTTTAAAGAATTTTTAATATCCTAGCGAATCGGGCAGAAATAGGAAAATAGCAGCTGGCGCACGCATAACGGTCGTGATGTTGATTTAAGGAAAAATTCAAGGAAAAAAAAAATTTTTGTCCGTTTCCTCAGAGCACAGCTTTTGGGCGCTTTACTAAATACATTTTTTTCCGCCAGGAAAAAGGGGAAACGTATAAGGTTGAAACTAGGTGGCATGGAGTTCCCTGAGTCCAAATTTCAAAAGAAAAAAAATTCGTTAAAACCCATCAGGGCACTCTTTTCAGTCCCATATTCCTGATTTTCTTTTATTCCACGAAGCAGAAACAGAACATGTAAACTTCCCTCAGAAGTACCTGTTTGATGGTTGAGTATAGGAAAATCATACTTTTGAAATGTCTCCTTATCATAGATTATAGGAAGGAAGTATTTAAAAATGTATTTTCCACCCTTACAAAAAGGGACACAAAAAAGAATTTCAAGCTAGGCACGCATAGAATCATAGAAGTAATGATTTTGATAAAAATCAAGACTTTCGACCCCACTCGTATGTCTCGCTTTTCAATGGGGACGTACTTTAAATAAATGTTTCCCATTTCGCAAAAAATGAATGAATGAATTACTATCCAAGGTAATGGAGCGCCGAAGGCGCGACCACAGCGAGTTTGTTTGCCCGGAATAATGCAAAAAATTATGTGAAAACATCTTCCTTTGAAATGTATGCCCCCAGGGCATTCCATTCCAAAGTCTGAATTTTTCTGCACGGAGCATCCCGGTAAGTAATTATGTACCAAGTTTCATCTTTCCACACTGGCTCAATACACCAGGACAAAAAAAAATTCTTGAAAACGTCGGCCCCCAAAAATAACTCCCCAGGGCATGGATCTAATTTTTTGCATTTTTCCTGAACTCATGGAAGGAAGAGAAGCGAAGAAAAAGGCATGGTATGGCCGGGAATTGAACGCTGGCCTCACGATTACCGGTAAGCAAGGAGTTCCAAGGTTTCGTCAATCGTTGCGCTGAACGGACAGTGAAGCTGATCCCTGACTGGGACAAAATCACCATCAAATATGACGAACAGAAACAATACCTTTTCCAAGTTCGTTTAGGAGCATTGAAAAGATTTGAAAACAGGCAAAAAGTTAACAACAGAAGTATGGAGAAACTAGGCAACAATAACAATTAGCACCTGTGAACCCCCAAGAAGGAGAATTCACTGACAAACCATGAGCGAAATCTGGTTGCAACGCCACGCTGCCAGGGCTATAATGGCGAAAACTAAATGGCCTTTGAGCGACCCTTAAATATGTTCCAATTGGGCTGATTTTTTGCACGAAAGCTTCTCTTTGGAAGTGTACAAAGATGAGGGGTTAAGACTATGAAAAATTTGACCAGATTTGAATGACCAACCATAGCCAATCATAACCCACTCGTAAGCCAACGATAACCTGCTGATGGTCCGTAGATGGTGTATGTAAGGGCGGCCATTGAGCTTTAGCTGCCCCAACCATAAATATTTGGCTTGGTTATAGGAGGGAGAGGGTTTTCCCTGTTTTCCCTTGCATAAAATCAATAATCTTCCCATGAGGGTGTCAGGGACCCCGTTTCTCTGGGGATCACAATTGGAATACTCTTCGAGTCCGCTATTTAAACTATGATATCATGCACTGCTTAAGTTCATTTCAATTTGTCATCAATTTCCTCATAAATATATTGCATCCTCACGGCTTACACCTGTTTCAACAGAGATCTGGAGGCAAGATGACCCTGATAATCAATTTTTATTGCTTGCTGACGTATTATTCTGCAAGAGAGGTGCCTCTGATAGTCCGTCCAGGTAAGGGTGACACCGGTCAATATAGAAATTTGGGTACACTCGTCCACATCCTGCATCCGTAGATTTCACCCATATTTTTTTCATGAGAATCTGGATGTGCAAATGTTTTTGGCTCTGGCCTGTTGCAGCCTGAAAGGAGAACATGGGGAAGACATGGATTACGGAATTTCTGGTTGGTGTCGCTGCAATCCTTTCGATGTCTATACCACTGGCAGAAGCCGTCTGCCGCGGAACGCTGAAGGTGGGCTCCAGAGGCTCCTGCGTCGAAGAAGTGCAACGAGCCGTTGGAGCCGATGCCGATGGCATTTTTGGTCCAAAGACGAAGGCAGCAGTCATGGAATTCCAAAGTCTTCGTGGCCTAGTTGTCGACGGTATCGTTGGACGTAACACTTGGGCCGCGATCCATGGCACGTACGGATCGTCGAACGACGGGTTTTCCAACGATTGCGGCTGTTCTTACGAATATGCTACTGGAGTCAGCGGCGGACCGACTCAAGGAGCAATAAACTTGGCAAACTACCTGCATCAACACTACGGCAGTCGTCAGGAAATCTACAGCCCTCGCCGCATAGGAGGAAGCGGGAGATGGTCGTTGCACGCGGAGGGGAGGGCAGTGGACCACTACGCGAGCGGGAAGGCTGGATGGGATATCTTCAACCATATGACGAGTATCGCCTGCCAGAACGGCATCCAAGAGGTCATTTACGGCAACAAGATTTGGACGATCAGCGGCGAGAGTCAGTACACGAAAGGTGGACACGATGATCACGTCCACATCGGGCTCAACAGATGCGGTGCTCTCAATTTCAATCTGTAAACCGTTCAAATGGAATCCGTCTTTCGTGACGGTCCCTTCCACATTTTTATGGAGGGCAAATAATATGCACAGATTGGAAGTGTGCACATTGCATGACTAATTATGATCATCTTTCGAGCGTTTTACATCTGTAAGTCTTGCACTACTTTCTGCTTCAGAGTTTCTGGACTATTTGCATTTTATTCAACATTTCGATCAAACGCTTCTCCAGCTCATCTTGCTTCGTATTATTCCGATATTGATTGATTTGTGCTTGCATGGGTTATCATCGATCATTTACTGTTCCATCATCTATCGACTGCTTGCAATATCAAAACGAATAAAACACGAGAAACTAGCAGTTAATGGTTACAGCAAGTTTGCGTTCGGTTGGGGTTCGCGGAACACCTTGGAATCAGACACTAGCAACATCTGCTGATTGTGCCTATAGTGGCACGATCCATTTCAACCTGTGAACCCATAACATTCAAGACAACGTGATGCATTAAGAAACGGATTCTTTATTGACGCATATTATCATTTCGGCTTTGCCTTTCTTATTGAAACTCCGAGGAGTGCATCTACTCGATTTCACAGGGTAGAGAACTTGGTTCCTTTAATGATCCGGATTAACTTAATGGAATCCGGATTTCGCAGAGGGCTTGCTTCGTGAATCGGCTGGAGTTACAGTATATGTCATTCCAGCACGGAAGCCATTCTTTATCTTCCGCAAGTGGCGTCAATTTCGATCGAAAGATGTAGTCCCTATCCGTATAGTAATCAGCGCGTATCGGATTGATTACCATCTCGAGGCATCGTTCTCTCTCACCGAAAAAGTAAGAGAAATCTGGCTGGTTCACACACCAATATGGCGAAGAATTCCAGATGACTCTGCCTACATGCAAAAGACAGCAAGAAAATGCATGATGGATCGGGACGGACATAGTATGCGCCTTCGTTAAGTGAAAAGGAACCGACCTTCTACCCAGGTGAACGCACCATCCTCGTCTCTATCGTCGGCCCCGAGCCACGTATCCTCGGATCCCATATGAAGAACGATTCGATCGTGCCAGGCTCGACCTCGGTCGTCCGCGACCAGGTGACCGCGGCCGTCGGCCTCACAGGCACTGGATGCAGCAGGGAACGTCCAGGACCCGTTCAGCTTTCTCAAGAAACGAATCTCGTCGTTTGTTGCCATGGCGAACACGTAGCCGTCGGGGATGAGGGCACCTGGTCGGATCGAAAGAGAAGCCCTGCAAAGTTATCACCCTTTCCGATACAATTTTGTAGAGGTGTGAGGTTCTCACTGTCGTAGAAGAAATTCCAGGACGGGCCAGGGGCGTTGATGTCATCACCGAAATACGGACCACAGAGCCTACAAGTTGCATTTCTAGTTTTCTCTCCCGTTTCCCGAGAATTCCTTTGGCATTCGGAATCCCTTCATGATCCAAAAAAAAAAACTTCACAGAAGATGAAAATAATCAAATTAAAAGATTCTGAATCTCTCGAATGTTTCTCGAGCATTGGTCAACGGGTGGGGGAGGGTCAGAGGCTAGGATCATCCTAATGCTCATGGCGTTCCCCTCCTCCCGGTCATCATTGAACTCTTTCAATATTGAGCCTACCCGAAAACCCTAAGTACGCTACGCCACTGACCTCAGGAATGAATTGGGACAAGTGGAACTTTCGTCAGATTCTTCCAGGTGCGGACAGAGACTGCTTGCATTCACGTTGGGGCTTTTATAACTACTTGGAGCATTGGAGATAAAAGGGGAAGGTGACGAGATGACATTCCACAGCGCCATCTCGATCCACCGGATGAACCTAATGGGGGTGAACGAAAAAGTCAGATTTCCATGGAAATTGGAACTGCATCACGACTTCGAGGGAGTGAGATTTTAGGAAATTTATTAAATGCCGGTCTCACCGACTGACTCTGGTGAAGACGCCGAATTGTCCTGGGAGCCTCATGGAGCACATTTGCCTGTTGCTGAAGTAGTGGCTCACGATCCCGAACACGGTCCAACTGTTGCCGTCAGAGACGGGGGAAAGGACCACCAAGGGACTTCCAGAATCCCCAGGACACACGGTTTGATAATCTGAGAAGGAAATTCTTTATTACGAATAGGCTGCATCCGTAGAAAAATGAAGCATTCATGACTTTTTCCCGACTTGTGATGCACGATTGCTGAGCGGTGACGTGATGAAAAGTTCCACTCAATCGCTTATTTTTTCTCAAATGTTTTCGTCCTAAGCTTGAAATGGTAAGTCCTATTAAACATAATCTTGTGAAGGTATTCGAATGCAAACATACACAAGAGCGGCATCGCTATATTGACGTACAGAGGATGTGAACTCAGGATGTGAAATCTGAAATACCTTCGTGTTTTAATGAATCAGATGAATGTAATGCGACATTTGAAAGATGGCTCGTGATGCTTTCAGAGCTCATACCTTCAACAGGAGTATCCTTATCATGACCAGCACAGAACATGTTTGAATTGAGGGTGTCCGTGAGTTTGGAGTCCCCCGTTAAACGGGTAACGTCCTGACGACATTCGAGATTGGACATAACCGGGAGCTGCACCTCCGTCAGGACGGCCGTGAAGAGATCGGAGGCGTTTAAGCCCCATCCGGCAACCTGCAAAGTAAAAACAGATGAAGAAGCGCATGCAACGAGAGCGTTGCAGGCAGCACCTCCTGAGCAGGCAATGAAAGCTCTGTGCCTCACCCATCCTTTCATTCTATCCTCGGTAGGGAATTGTGAGAGATGGTCTTGGGACGGGAGGCATACCAACTGAACTCGCGAGGTCAACACGGAAGGTTTGCCCAATTTCAACAGGGCAATGTCAGCGTCAAAGTTCTGCCAGTTGAATTCCTCGTGCACAATGATATGAGACACCTGCAAAGAGATCGAATCGATTTCCATCAGAATCGGTTTGAAGGATCCACGAGAATGTATTCCTACACGGAACCTGTTTGATCTGCACGAATTCGTCGTCCTTGGAAATATCCCGATAGTGTTTCCCGAGGTGGACTTTGAACTCTTTTGGTTGCCGAACGGTGAGGGAGTAAGGAACAGTGACACAATGAGCTGCAGTCAAGACCCATTGCTCCCGAATGAGAGCCCCTCCACATAGGAGGTCATCCTTCTTCGCATCATAAACGGCAGCTTGCCACGGCCATTCTCCTATGTCCGATGGCTCTCCACCCGCCAACAACGGCTGCTGATGCACCTTCCTCCCACAGACTAGACAGGAGACAGTTGTTGCATTCGGAAATGCGATCAGTCAGATGTGGAAATTGTATATAATGTGTGGCAAAAAAGTCACAAACTTTGCACGCTTGCAGACGTAATACCATATGAGTTATCGAAGGGAAATATAATGGGTTTCACGCGCAATATTTGCAGGTAATTTCTGAAACATTTCAATGAAATCGGTTGTTAACTTCCTGAGTAACCATTTTTCTCCCGCGCGATGTTAAAAAGGGCGAGTCTGTAAATATGTGCAACTGACCTCAATAAAATAAATGTTTGATGGGGTCTCCGGCGATCACCTGCGGAGGCAGCTCTTAAGGCAAACGCACTGACACACTAGCACATTTGACAATTCGTACGGTAAGAGCTCTTACTCATGTTCAGAGCAAGGAATTTCATCGAAATATTAATATAACCATCTACACATATTGGACATAACACTCTGAACATTTCAAGACGATACTTAATATGATATCCCGTCTGCAGAATCTTGACTTCTTTTGGGCCACAAGGTTTATGGAGACTGACTCGGTTCGCAGAAAGGCGTGTGAAGTGGTTTCCACTGTCCTCTCTTGGTGCAAGTCCGGAACCTCGGTCCCTTCAGATCATAATATTGCTTGCACGAGTACATAACAACGCTTCCAATGACATATTTGCCATCCTTGACGCATTCCGTTTTGTTCCTCACTCCGATCACACGATATGGGCTGCCACAAGACACTATTCTAAAGGATCCATGCTTTGCGTCCAGAAGTCGTCCACATCGAATCTCGTCGCCTCCTATGGGATTAAATGAACTGTTCCATGTAAAATTTCCTTCACAGTTATGGGAAGCAATACAATCTCCACTAGTGTTTTCTTGAAATACCCGTAGAAATGGTATGGTCTTGATCTTGCCTTTGAAAATCAATATCAGGTGCAATCAATCGAAGCCGTCATTTCTTCATTTATTATCTACATATTCGAGACAGAATCATGGAATTTAGGAATTAATCAAGCTAATATTGCCTATAAGATCCCCTGCCTGTGGCTGTATGTTTTCATCAATCTGGAGCCTCAGATCTATTAAACGATATTCTAGTAGCTGCGAACTCCAGCCATCTCCACCTTATCCGGACAATGGGACGGGACTACCACAGTAATACCAGGTATTGGCTGGATTGACATTGGGTACGTTGGCTACATCTTGGGCAATATTGACAATATAGGCTAAATATTGGCTCCTTCAATATTGCTATTCCATCATCAACTCATTAGACCGACGCGATGATCCAAAAATTTGTCCGACGTACTTAGAAGTTTTAGGAAATGTTGAAGTACATCTTCAGGCCAGTAGATGGAGATATAGATCTCGCTTTCCCACAGTACACAAAAGTACCCGTCCCTCTTTCCCTGTAATAGTCCCTCACAGAAGTGTTTCGCACCTCGCCATATGTCTCCCAAGTCTCATTATATAGGGAATATGAAACTATTGAATTCCTGGGATCCATTAAACTTCCTCGAATGAGATAATACATGAAGAAATGGAGGTTTTGATTGATTCCTTTTATGAGATATGACAAAGTATATGGTGAGGTACTAGGTATAGCTGTGAAGGACGATTCTAGGGAAAGACGGAATGGTACTTTTTGTTCTGCGCGAAAAGGCAATAGCCATTCTGCCATCTGGTGGCATAGAGGAGAAGTTCATTTCCCTGAAACTTTCAAGTGCAACTTAGGCAAATTGGATCGTCACATCCGTTCGATATAGGATCGATGATGACAGGGCAATATTGGGGAGACATTGCTTCGCCAATATTGGCAACATTCACTAAGCTATATTGCCTATAGTCGATATTAGATATATTGGCCAAGGTGAAGCCAACGTACTCAATGGTGGACTTTTGGCCAAGATATGGTGCTACTGTTGGGGAGCCACAAAGTAAGAAAAACCCTTACTGGCACTCTGTCCTCCGCTGTTGGTGAGCTGCATCGCGGCAAGCCAGTCCATTGCTATGGATGTGCCGGTATCTTTCACCATTGGTGCGCCATTAGTAGCAAGCCAACCTGGTGCCTTAATTGGACCAATGTTTTTCGCCTATGAAGTATCGAATAATGGCGAGCCAAACTAGAGCCATGAATGGGCGATGCATGACTGCCAATGCCTATGATCTGCCGACGATGCCCTTCCAAATGCCATTATTGGGTCATGCTTCTTGTTAATCTTGGCTAGGGTTCTGTTTTTGTCCATTTTGGAATGGATCCAAATACTCATTTCACATGCATTTCTTTGCTTGCGTCTTGCTGGGCTTGTATAAGAAAGTCATCACTTAAAAGTTCATGAATAGTGGCGAAGAGAAACAAGATCTTCATCGACTGCTATGACCAGGTTTCACTTCGTGGGACCGTGTTCCCAAGTAACCCCAAACAATATGTCATTTATTATTGTTGAAATCCACAGGGTGTCCCATAACTCTCTCTACCGTTTCAAAAATCGACATCCTCCAGCCATCGAAGTGGCTTAAAAAAGTAACATTATTGACCTTTTGCGTTATGATTATGATGTTTCAGTGTAGGTTTTCTTCCAACTGTCTGGCTTACGGATACATGTTTGACGAACGCGGAGAGATGGTTCGTTACAGGGTTACCAGCATCTTGAGAAGACACGAGAGACTTCACCAGAGTGACGAGAGAGAGAGAGGGAGAGAGGGGGGGAGAGAGAGAGGGGGAGAGAGAGGGGGAGAGAGTACTAGGTTTCGTACACTTCTTACATATCCCCATACCTACTAACCAGCATCCGCCCTCTCTCATAAACATGTACCGAAATGAGGTTATCCACTAGAATATAGTGATAGGCAAGGTAGGTAAGTAAAGCCTAGTTAATAGGTAAAGTAGCAAATGGATAATTAAGGAATCACCTATTCCCATATTAATATGTTCAAAACGTAATTTCCTTACTTTTAAAATTCTGAGTTTTTTTCTCGCGTCACACGACTACTTTTTTCTGGATGTTACTACATTTGTGGGTCGTATAAGTATGGAAAGAGAACTTGATGGATGGCGATATATAAAAGGTGGAGAGCCACTGAATTAGATAAACTTTTCCCAACCATTCTTTACGGGCCCAACAAGTGCTAGGCAAGTAAAGGTAAAACGAACACCTGAGTCTCGAACAAGTCCAATAAAAGAGAGAGACGGGGGATATTTAACCTGGTACAGGAACATTTTCGATCCTTCCGAGGAGTGGAGTTTGAGCCTTGGGGGATTCCTGGAACCAGACCACAGACCACCACCACAGACCACAGACCACAATAACCAGAGAGCAGAGCAAGACAATCACCTGTTTTGAGACATTAACAGCATTTCACTTTCCACTTACCACACTTAGCCACGTTCTTGGAGTTTCATGCAATAAAGAAAATTTTACGTTGTGGAAATCCTCTTCCGTTGCAACTGAAATGATTTTAATGGCATGGAAGGAAAGTGAATTCGCATTCTGTCCCCTTTACTTGACTGAATCATCGAATATCATGCAACCTTATTTATATTTTAATCCCAAGTAAGCTATGCACATACGTTGGAATTTCTGAAAAGATGGAGATGCGAACCGAAGTTCGTCTTTCCTATCGAGAAAGCTAAAAAGGAGATGAGAGACGTACCTGATGGATTTTCATGGCTCTGGTGGATGAGACGGAGGCCGTCTGGAGGCCATCCGTAGAACGTCCACTCTGGATTCGAAGGGGTTGGATATGCAGGGTGGTGCAAAAGTCCTGTCTAATAGCAATTTTTTTTCCTTTATTCAAATGTCCAAATTGATTGTCTTGGATTGTATCGCATATCGTGCGACAATCACAAAAGGAATTCTCACGCGTGTGCGTGGGCCGGCGCCGGATCCAAATTTGCGAAATAAGTTTAAGGCAACCTGTTTGAACATTTGATTCAGAGAAATAGATTCCTATGGGACAGCACTTTTGCACCACCCTGAGAATTATCTGGAATGAAGTCATTCTTAGTCGCTCGTCCACCAGGCCTTCATAAAATGGCTTCCTGTGATAACGTTAAATTTCCTAGGACTGCGCGGAAGATGGCAACGTGCGTCCCTGTCTCTGTCCTCACTTTCATTGACTCATTTTACTCACTTTTTTCGCTCTTATATTTTTTTGGTCCTCCCTTGTATCACTATGGTACACTTTTTTGTTGCTTTCAACATTTTGGCAACATGATCGAACATAGTCCAACGCATCGAATAGCAAAAAAGCTTAAACGAGCGATCGGACGCTATAACTTTGCAGATACATGAGCTTTGAGCACGCGTGATGAGGGTCTACCTTCACTCCTCACCTGACATCCATCACACCCCAACGCTTTCCTCCAGGTTCGATGGACCCACCTCCGAGGTGATGTCGGAGCAAAGTGGTGACTTGACATGCCGGGAGACGGCCGACACTTGATCCGCGGAGCCAAATGTGAGGCGGGAGTCTCCCGATACATCATGACAAGTTTTAAATATATGTAGTCGATAAGAAGCGAACAGATGGGTGCAAAGGGTTAAGAAGATCCTGTGCTGGAGATTATCACATGAACAAGTAATGTGCAAGACTGAAAATTCGTAAAATCGGGGCTTCCAAATAGAACCTTTAAGCATGATGGGATTATGATACACACACTGGACACGACACATGTATTCATTCCAAATCGCACAACTCAACTTGGGAGTTGCACTGTCCTTTCTGGTAGAGTCAAGCTTAGCTTCGTGATTTTCGTTAGTAGCAGTCGTTTGCATTTCTTCATGGAGGTCACGTAATATGCCCAGATTAATTTTGTGCAAAATATGTGCGTAATTATGATTACACGTATAATATTCAACATATGTAAGTGTTGCACTAATATATGTTTCAGTGCTCGTTGGTGAAACAGACTTGCCGCTGTCAGTTTGCATTTTATTCCATTTTGAGATCAAATGCATTTCTGCCTCATTGTCTTCCATTTTCTCGAATATTGATTGCCTTTTGCTTGTTATGGTTATTTATTGCTTTACTATCCAGAAAGCTACCGTCTGCTTGCGATGTCAAAAAGAATAAAACGTCAATCAGCGAATCAGTCAAATAATAAATTTATTTACCTTAATTCTCTGTCAATGCTCTTTGTTATAATAGTGAAACACAGGGGGGAAAGTGACAAAGACAAAAACAGACGGTGGTCCAGTTCTAGAAGAGTGCGAAGGTCGATCTCATATGAAAGAGGGAAGAAATTAAACTCCTTCTGAACTTTTCGATCTTTTTAGAACTGCGGTGATATTCCGTGTTTACAGTCTATAGAGAGATTGATGCCACAAAACTGTTGAATGGGATTTTTCGTCGAGACGGAGACGATGAAATAGGTTTTTCTGGCATCATGGCACATTTCCGGGATGAGATTTCAAACCGGAGTACCTCAGTTCCGAAGCAACCGGAGTCCGAAGGTTAAAAAAAAATGCGATCCCAACCGCTAGCTGGGCCGAGCGACAAATGTGTGTTCGTGTGACAGCATTACAGGCAAAATGATTTGAGAGGAAAACGTGCAATTTCAATAGGAATCTTCCTCATAATCCAAGGGATTTTGTCTTTGCGATATTACATTTAGAAAAGGTCCTCACGAAAGGGAGGGGAGGCAACTTTCATGGAAAATCAGAGATTCGCTCTCGTCTCGTCATCTTTCTTATACGAGGAGACGAGAGTTGCCAAAGGGAACGCTGGTATCGTTAACTGTAGTGCCTCCCGTCTGCTGCCGGGAATCCTGGCATTTCAAGCCTCCATGATGAAGTACGAGTCGATTTGTCAGTCCATCGCCACTTTCGCCAGACGTCCATAACCGCAGTTTCCTCGGGGGGGTCCATCTCTCAGATTCCAGAATTTCAGAATTGCAGAATGACGTGCTCTTTCGTCGCTGCTCACATCACCTTCAGTCCTTTGAAAGCGTTCACGAACGACGCAAGGAAGCCGATGAGCGCAAGAGTTCTTCAAAGCATTCAATTTTGGTGGATGGCAAAAATTAAAAGTATGATCTATTGGAGAAGTGTGCTTGCAGCAGAAAAAAAAGTGATTTGCAAATCGTGACTGTGCTGTTTGCTGCAGGTTCCGTCTTTCTCTATTCGTCTGAGTTGATGCACGAAGCTAGCCGTTGATATTTCTCAGACTTAGGACTCCCTCAGATTTGATTGGTTCATTTCCCTTGGTTGCGGTCTCTCGTCTGTGCACCGACACCAAGGTGTGTCGAGCATTGCAGGGGGAAAAACTCTCGCTAGGACTGGAAGGTGCGCTCTGCGTAGTATGCTGCTTTCCACCTACAACCCTATATATAATATGGACTTTTTTTTTGCTTAATGAACACCATGCTCGGTTGATGTGATGAGGTGCCACGCGGAATCGTAAGTGAATTGAGCCTTGACAGATGACATACTTGCGCTCAGTGTTGGATTGCCGTTTCGACTCTAGGATTTTACTAAATTATTTTCTTCTCGTTTATAGACACCAAGTTCCATCCACACGATCGGTTGCCAAGGGTAAGCACAAATTAAGTGAGACCTGTAGGCATTATACATATGGCAGTCTCGAAGTAATACACGAACGCTCTCGAGGCCGTTCAACCCGTTTTCGAAAGAGGTTTTTGTACATCCTATGTACACGGATGAGCAGCTTTTGGGCGCTCATTTATAGTTGTTAGGGAAATACGTTTCCTTGATTCGATCCAGGACTTTCGTTGTGACACTTCTGCGCATCAGTATTTTGGAGATTAGAGGGTAACACTCGAAATTCCATTCCTTAAAGCGATGTTTTCTACTCAATTTTTTCATTTCAACGCGCTATTTTTATGGAGAACGGGAATTTAATACGAATCGAGGAGTATATCCGACATTGCTCATGTCTTTCTACTCACTTTGCCCTTAGTATTTTCCCGGATTCTGTTTCCCTTGAGCAAACCTGTTGTTGCAGCAGCGTACCAGAAGGCATCGTGTGAAGGAATAATTAGTTGGGTTCGTATAAAAAAATTAATTTAGTTTAA